TGAGTCATCTCCCCGGCCCCCATTACTCTTTTTCTCTTTCAAAATAAGTACTGATTTTCCAGAAGATCAAATGTTCTTAGGAAAGTATATTTTATGTAACTTACCTCTCAGGAACTAGCAGTTTTATGGAGTTAATCTAGTATGTATAGCAATTATGCCTAGGCAATTACCTAGTGATTTTCATATTTTTGAGAAAAAAATACAAATTCAAGAGCCTATTGATTTTAAGTCTTCAAACTGTATTAAAGCAAGTATTTGAAATTTTGACCTTTTAAAGTTGATACAAACATTCTGTAACCAAAGGAATAAATAATGAATTGGTGATATTTTTTAAGGTGGGGGGGGTGTTCCTCGCTATGTTAGGCAAGCATTGAACTCAGGCAGTCCTCCTTCAAAGGCCTTGCAAGTAACTGGGAATACAGGCACACATGATAGTGCTCAACAGTGAATTTTTTTGTTTTCAAAGTTATTACCTAGATCAGTCGTTTCTAAACTCTATTACTAATCTCTTAAAAAATAGAACATTCGTCTGATATATACTTATTATAAGTTACCTATACCAGAAGCCTTACTATAACAAATAAACATACAAGTGAGACATTTTTAAATGATAACGTGTCAGTAAAAGATGTAATGTTTTTGTATTGTATCACAGTGGGGTTTCCTATATCCCCTTGTACAGTTTCTCTGTAAACCATTGACATAAATCATTGATTGGGGGAGCCCAGGCTAAACAGCTCCCCCTAGCCTGAGACGCTTGAACCCAGGGCCTTCATGTTAAGCTACATCCCCAACCCTTTAAAGAAAATTTATTTATTTATTTATATTTCAGTACAGGGTCTACATGGTCTCACTACACAGATCAGACTTGTAGTGATCCTCCTGTTCTCAGCCTCCCAAGCACTGGGATTACAGGCATGCACCATCATGCCCAGTCTCAATAGCTGGCTCAGTGTGCCTCAGGGGAGAGGCCTGCATGGCACGCCAGGGATTGAACCCCGTTCCCTGCGTCTGCCTAAGCAGGTGCTTTAGTCTGCTGAGCTATCTGGCTGGCCTTCCCAGCCCTTTGTTTTGTAAACAGGGTCTTGCTAAGAAGATTAGGTAGGAAGATTAGGTGCTTGAACTTGAAATCCTCCTGTCTACCCTGCCAGTCTGGGATTATAGGTGTGGCCTACCATCATTCCTGGCCACATATAAATTCGTTTTCTCCTTCCTTCCTTCCTTCCTTCCTTCCTTCCTTCCTTCCTTCCTTCCTTCCTTCCTTCTTGTGGTACCAGGGATTGAATTTGGGACCTTCCACTTGCCAGGCAGACGTGAGCTATCTCCTCAGCCCATCATTTTATTTTTAACAAGTTACCTAGGGGGGCCCAGCCCTAGCTCAGTTCTTTAAGTGGCTGCTTCCACAATGCTGGCAGCCTCAGTTTGCTGTAGTTCGATCCCCACAACACTCCAGCCATGCCAAAGTGCCCTGAAGGCATTCAAGGAGAAAAAAAAAAAAAAAAAAAAAAAATTCCTTATGGGCTGGTGAGATGGCTCAGTGGTCTAAAAGCACCTACTTGGAACAAGCTTAGCAAAGCACAGGGACCACAGTTCGATCCTCCAGCACCACATGCCAGCCAGCCCCGCCCCCTGGTGGGCTGAGCTGGCCACACACACACACACACACACATTAAAAAAAAAAAAAGTTACCTAAGTGATTGTGATTTTGACACACACAGAAGTTTGAGATCTGCTGATCTACATTATTTTGTTTCCTACAGTTACTTATGAAATGGAGAGATAGAAAGCTTTGATAATATGGGAGGATAACCATCCAGTTTTAATTTTGGCTACTAGGCTAGATTGGCTACTAGGTCAGATGGAAAGGATATCCTTATTTTCAAAGATAATTAAAACTAACCCCAAAAGACAGCCATAATGATAAGGTACTATATTGTGTTGTGTTTGGCTTCCTCTATGTCTTCATAGTGATATTTCTGAAACTTGAACCTTATTATTCAAAATCAGGTCATTTGTTCTTGTCTATAGGATGAAGTCCAAACCCCTTAATCTGACATGCAAAATCTTTATAATTTTGATGCCCACTAACCTTTTAACATCATAACTTTTATTGTTCCTCCCATCATCCTTGTTCCCCTAGAAAACCTTCTGTAAAAACAAATAGAAAACCAAAAGTAAAGAAAGCTCCTTAACTCAGCCATGATACACTCATAGTTCGTTGTAAGCTTCGTTCCTTGCTTGGTTATTCTGCCTGTGTTGTCCTTCAGGTTTTGTCCTACTGAAAAACTACTTGATAAGATTCAGCTCAGGAATCTTTTCTGACCCCCTCTGAACATTCCTTATTTTTTTGTTTTGTTTTGGTTTTTGAGAGAGGGTCTTTCTTTGTAGTTTAGCATGTCCCTGAACTCACCGTGTAGAACAGGCTGGCTTTGAACTTGTGAGCATCCTGCCTCAGCCTCCCAAGTACTGGTATTACAGGTCTGCGCCATCATTCCTAGCATTCTTGTTATTTTATAGCACTTAAGAGAAGTGCTGTGGGCTGTGAGATAGCTCAGTGGTCTAAAGCGCCTGCTTAGGCAAGCATGCAGGGACCTCGGTTCGATCCCCAGCACCACTTGCCATGCCGGCTCTACCCCCAGGGTGGGCTGAGCTGACCATAAAAAAAAAGAAAGGAAACATAAAAAGAGAGAGAGAGAGAGAGAAAAGTGCTGTATCTGCTTGCTTGTAAGTCTCCCTCTTAGTAGGCTGAGTTCCTTGAGGATAAAGATAGCTAACACGTCAAGTTTCATGAGGGTAAGTAATCTTATTCAATGCCTGGTACATAGCAGACGTTCAGCAGCCATTTCTTGAATGAGTCTGTCTGTGTTTTGGATTGACTATAATGAATTATAAATGAATAAGTGAGTGAATTACAAGGTCTTAAGAAGCTTCTTTTAAGGGCCAGAGTTTGAAAGAGTGCCATGTGCTTGAAATCTTGCTTACATGCCATGTATTTTTTGTGTAATATCTGATTTCATTTATGCATAAGGAGAACTTGATATTATTAACCTTAATGCTGGTATTTAAATGAGAAGATAGACAAAAACCTTGGGAAGGACCCTTGGCATTGGTGTTGACAGTACTGTTTTCTGGATAGGACGCCAAAAGAATGGGCAACAAAAGCAAAAATAACCAAGTGGAGCTTCTCCTAAAAATTGGGACACTTCTGTGCAGCGAAGGAAGCAACCAACAAAATGAAAAAACAGGCTATGAACTGGGAGAAGAAGCCAAGCAGTAGTGGGGCATGCCTCTGATCCCAGCACTTGGGAGACTGAGGCAGGAAGTGATCACTGTGAGTTCAAGGCCAGCCTGGGCTGCTTAGTGAACTCAAGGCCAGCCTGAACTATACAGCAAGACACCATTCCCACCCCGCCCCCCCAAAAAATTGGAAGAAGATACTTATGAACTATCTAATGTATTCCCATATTGAATATATAGGGGACTCAGCTCAGTAGTAAGCAAAAGAATAAACCAGTAGAACAAAAAAGGCTGGCCAGTACAATATATAGTGTATGTACACTTCTAATTCCAGCTATTGAGAAGGCTGAGGCAGGAGAATCGATCAGTAGTTTGAGGCCATAAAAGAGTGGGGATATAACGCAGTCCCTCCTGGATTCATTCCCCAGTACTGAGAATAGAAAGGGGTTTGAAGGGGAATAGGCAAAGTAACCAAATAGACATTTCTCTCAAGAAAATGCACAAATGGCCAAGAGGTATTTAAAAAGGTGCTCAAAATCACCGATCATCAAGAAATGAAAATCTAAACTACCCTGAGATGTCATCTTAAGCTTGTTAGTTTTTATCAAAAGGACAAAATAACAAGTCTTGGCAAGGGTGTGTAGCAAAGGGACACAGTGGAGATAACAGTGCAGAGGTTTCTAAGATAATTAAAATACAAGCCAGCAATCCCTCTCCTGGTTATATAGCCCAAGGAAATGAAGCCACCATTACCACCACCTTTAAAAATACCTGCTCTCCCATGTTCATTGTAGTATTATTCACAATACTTAGGATACGGAAACAACTGAAGTGTCTTATCTGTGAATTACTGGATAAAGAAATTCTCTCTTCCCCCTCCCCTCACAGAGGAATATTATTCAGCCTTAAAAAATAAGAGTCAGGGGGCTGGTGAGATGGCTCAGTAGTCTAAAGCACCTACTTAGAACAAGCTTAGCAAAGCACAGGGACCGCGGTTCAATCCCCCAGCACTACATGCCAGCCAGCGCCACCCCCTGGTGGGCTGAGCTGGCCACACACACTAAATAAATAAATAAATACATACATACATACATACATACATACATACACCAAAAAAAAAAAAAATAAAAAAAAAAAAAAAGAGTCAGGTCGGGGAGATAGCTCAGTAGAATAAGCGCCTGCCTGGTAAGCGCAGGTTCCTGAGTTCAATCCCTGGTACCGCAAAAATAAAAAAGTGTCAACCATTTGCAGCATGAAACAATCCAGAGGACATAACACTAAGTGATATGAGCTAGACATAGAATAGTACAGCATGATCTCATGTGTATGAAATTATAAACAAAACAGATGCCTAAAAATAGAGTAAAACAGTGCATATTGGAGAGAATGGGAAGATGTAGATCAAAAGGTAACAGTAATGTGGGATCACTGCTTACGAGAGCTAAAGTACAGCACAATTAGTGTAAGTAATAATGGGAATATTGGTAATTTGTCTAGAGAGTAGATTTTAGTTACTCTTAACTATAAAAGGAGGAAAGAAGAGGAAGAGCCATAATATGGTATGGATGTTAGTTGGCTTGATTCTAGCAATTACTGTGTATACATTTGTCAAGGTGAGTGTATCAAAATTCGTTGCAACCCTTATGTATAAAAAATTAGTTGGAAAATAAGATTTAGAATAGCCAAGTAACTTTATTTAATATCCAAATAACTTCAGACTTTTTGTAGTGTTAATTATGATACCATTTTTACTTTTTCCATAGGGTATTTGTGAACCGAAGTTTAGCCATGGAAAAAATAAAGTGTTTTGGTTTTGATATGGATTATACCCTTGCTGGTGAGTAGCAATGTCTAATTGCTTTATGAACTTCTGTTTTTGTTATAGTGGGTCCACTGTAGGCAGTTCAGTAAGTATTTATCATACATTTGGCTGGCAAAACTGTTAGTAAGCCATTTTCTTTCATATTTAGAAGATGGAATTTATCTGATATGCTTGAGATTTGGTTTATATGCTTACAGATAAGTAGAGCAAGTCCTAAATTATTTTAGAGATCTTCCTAAGAAATTATTTGGTAAAATCATAACTTAATATATTATGGCACTTTCAGCTTTTTCTCCATTAAGTTCTTCAAAGATAAAAATATTTTATCCCTGCCATAGCTAAGTCCTTATAAGCTAAAATTTTTGACATGTTAAATTAATTAAATTAATTAATTGATTTTGGTGTTAGGGATCAGATGCAGGGCGTTGTACTGTATATTTGAAACAATATGTTGGTCAGTAGTTACAACATCTTGTCCAAACTAATTAAGGAAAATACTTGCACTGTGGTGAAGATACCATTTAAGAAGTCATAGGGATAAGGGGTCAGATTAACCACATGGATATATGTGTTCACATACACAGATGCAATTATGACACTCAGAAAAGAATACCAGTTCTCCTTCTCTTCCTCCTCCTCCTCCTCTTTTTCCTCCTCTTTCTCCTCCTCCTTCTCCTCCTCCTTCTTCTCTATCCCCTTTCCTTCCCCTTCCCTCCCCCTCCACCCCTCCTTTTCCTTTTTATTCTTCTTGTTCTTTTATGGAGCCAGGGTCTCTCTATGTACTTTAGGCTGGCCTTGAACTTACTATGGAGTCCAAGCTGGCCTCCAACTCATGGGAATCCCCTTGCCTCCTTCACAGAGCCTGGGGTGATAGGCATGTACTACTGCACCCAGCAGATACAGTCTTTAAAATTTTTTGGTTTGTCAGGTGTGTTGGTGCATGCCAGTTACTGGCAAGGCTAAGGCAGGAGAATTCTAAGTTCAAGGCCAGCCTAGGCAACTTAATGAGACTTTTGTTTCAAAGAGATATAGATAGATAGATAGATAGATAGATAGATAGATAGATAGATAGATAGATAGATAGATAGATAATCCGGGGATAGTTATTCCCATCTGTTAGTTTATTTTTTCTTTAAGCCATACAGTAGTGTGTGCCAGTAGTCCCACCAGGTGGGAAGGAGAGAGATTGCTTGAGCCAGAAATTTGAGACCACCCTGAGCAATAGAGTATGTCCCTGTCTCAAAAAACAAGGGTTTTTTTGTCCCTAAGTACACAGTAACCATTTCAATAACAATATTAGAAAACAAGCTTCCATTTCAAATTATATAAATCTCCATTTGATGTTCAATTTAGGCTACAAATATATATTGAATATATAAAAATAAACACATGCATATACTTGCCACATGGACATAGCCATGTTTTTTTTTTTAATCAGACAAGTAATTTATTAAAAATGTATGGATAGGCTGGGTGTGGTGGCACACACCTGTAATCACAGCACTTGGGAGACTGAGGCAGCAGTATTGTTGGGAGACAAGCCTTGGCTGCAAAATGAGCTCAAGACCAGCCTGAACTGCATAGCAAGACCCTGTCTCAAAAAGCCCCGCCCCCGCCTCCCCCCAAAATAGATAGACAGATGGATAGCCTTAGATTTGAATCTTTCTTTTTCCTCTCTAATCTGTCATGTATTTGTTTTTCTGTTTCAGTACAATTCTTTTTTGTAAAAGAATTATTTATTTGATACAGGGTCTTGCTGCTCAGTTCAGACTCATAGTGATCCTCCTGCCTCAGCTTCCCAGCGCTGGGATTACAGGTGTGCCGGTTTTGGAGCCAGCATGGCATGCAGTACCAGGAATTGAACTTGGGTCCTTGTGCCTATCAGGCAGGTGCTTAGACTGCTGAGCTATCTCCCCAGCCCTGTACAGCTCTTTTAACTATTACAGTTTCCTAATGGGACACTTTTAGGAGCACTGTCAGAAAATAAATGAAAGCATTATACTTTCTCAAGTGTCAGTCTTTCTATTCCAATAGGAAGAAAATCCTATAATCCAGAATTCTAGCTAGGGCTGAGGTTGTAGCTCAGTGGAAGAACACTTGTTAGTACGTTTGAATACGTAGGTTCAATTCCCAGTACCTCTCCCCTGGAAAAAAAAAAATACGAAAACAAAGGATTATACCCTTCTAGAGAAGAGAATTTGATGAATAAAAAAGATCCCAGACAGAAATAGAAGTTATTAAGTTGGTTATTAAGACAATCTCATTATACTGAGTTATTAACACTCTACAGTGTGTCTGGCATATTGTTACTGAACATTATGACAACGATATATTCTTATAGGACAATGAATTTAAAAAAAAAAAACCTCTTTTGGGCCAGTTATGTCTCAGTGGCATAAGCACCTGCCTGGAAAGCACAAGGTCCTGAGTTCAATCCCCAGGACCAGAAAAACCCCCCAAAACCCAACAAACAAAAAAAAACCAACCTCTTGTTAGCAGGCATGCTGATATGTACCTGTAATCCCAGCACTCTGGGAGGCGAAGGCAAGAGGATTGCATGTTCAGGTTAAGGCTAGGCCAAGAAGCTGGAAGGGGAAGCTGAGGTTCGTTGTGAAGGTACTGGGTTCAATACCCAGGAGTATAAACATAAAACAAAAAGGAACTCTCCCTTAATGGAAAATTATGAATCTTAGTCTCCAAACTACTGAAGCCTTAGAATTTCTTTTGTTTGCTTTTTTAAAAAAATCAATCATGCTCCCTTTTATTACTCTCCTAAACAGTAACATCCTATATGTATATATGATAGTAACTGTTAACATTTATGATGTACGTTGTTCTGTGTCTTTTTCTGTGCTAAGTGTTTCCTTGTGGATCTTCTCTTGTATGCAGGGGTTTTCATTTGTACCTGTTACCTTGTTATTGTTTACAGGAACCTTCAAGGTAGATTCTGTTATCTGTTTTATGCAAGACATTAAGCAGTTTATCACAGAACATTCAGCTGTGATAAGTTATACCAGGATTCACACCTAAGCATGCATGTATATATTTTTTTATTTTTTATTTTTTAATATATTAACCATTGTTTTTTTATTTATTATTATTTATTACATTTATTTATTGTGTGTGTGTGTGGCCAGCTCAGCCCACCAGGGGGCGGGTCTGGCTGGCATGTGGTGCTGGGGATCGAACCGCGGTCCCTGTGCTTTGCCAAGCTTGTTTCAAGTAGGTGCTTTAGACCACTGAGCCATCTCTCCAGCCCCGCATGCATGTATAAATAGGTATATATAACTTAAATTATTATTTCGAATAATAGTTTCTAAGACACAATTTCAAAATAATAAGCTCTTTAAACAAACCAGGACTTCATCATTTAAGAGTCAAAGCCGGGCTGGTGAGATGGCTCAGTGGTCTAAAGCACCTACTCACAACAAGCTAAACTAAGCAAAGCACAAGGGACCGCAGTTCAATCCCCCAGCACCACATGCCAGCCACTCGCCCCCTGGTGGGCTGAGCTGGCAACACACACAAATAAATAAATAAAATAAAAAAAAAAGAGTCAAAGCCCTTAAGAGAAGCCACTCAGGGAGGTGATGGGTCATTCCAACGTTTCAGTGTTATACAAAACATTGTTATGGCCTTGTCATCGCAGAGTACATAGGAAAACAAGTTCATTGACTTTATGTTCTCATGCATGTTTTAGAATGAAGTCATAACATGGTGAATAAAATGTGAATAGCCGTGAATAACTTCCCATTGTTTTAAACAACAGAGAACAATACCCTTGAAGTAATAAGATTTTTCATGTTCCATGAAATACAGAGATGAGGCTAAAAGAAGTGTGCTTTGTTGGTTTATTTTCAACTTTGATTATTTGGGATAAATATCTTTATAATAAATGCAATTGCCTCACAGGTAAGTTCTTAGAAAAGGTCTGTGTTCTTTATGACATACCCTCTGTGCAGTTCTGACACCCTGGCGTGTTCACTTTAGAATATTTTATGTAAGTTGCAGCTTTTGTTTACTTGCTTGTCTTTTTTTTTTTTTTAATGTGTTTGGTATAGGGTCTTGCTATGCAGCTTGGACTCTTTTTTTTTTTTTAGCTTGGACTCTTAGTGATCCTGCTGTTCCATCCTCCACAGCGCTAGGATTACAGGCATATGCCACCGTGCTGGGAATCTGTCGCTAGCTCAGTGTGCCGGGGGTGGGCTGGTGTGACATGTGGTGCTGGGAGTTGAACCCCCGGTCCCTGCGCTTGCCTAGGGGCTTAGTCCACTCAGCTGTCATGCTGTCCGCTTGCCTGTCGTTTTGTTAACCTTTGAGTTGCTCAAGGGCCAGGGCTATTTCTCACTTATAGCCTGTGTTTAGCATGAAGCCTGGCATATGGTAGGTATCAGTAAATATTGGTTGACTAACAGTTTGGATGCAGTTTTACTAAATTAGTTTATGAATTAATTATGGTACTTTACCCAGCATAAGATATAATACTAATTATTCAAATGAAATATTTCTAAATATGAACATTTTAAGAAGTTAATGAGTTTTATTGAGGTTACAGAAAATGAAGTGCATGCATTTTACATGCGCAGATTGAGTTTTACAAATGTAAACCTATGTAATTATTGCCACATTCAAGATACAGAATATTATGTCAGCCCCCAGTATATACCCTCAGTGCTCTTCGAGATCAGTTTTTTCCTTCTACCCTGCTCTTCGCAGTATGGCTTTTTTTTGCCTGCTTAGTTTGCCCTGAGGCTGGGACTGGTATGCATGCTGTGTAGGGGGGATTGAACTACAGTCCCCTGCGCTTGCCTAAGCAGGCACTTTAGACCTCTGAGATATCTTGCTGGCCCAATGCACTATGGCTTTTTTTTTTTTTTTTTAAATATATTTAGTACAAGGTATACAGGGTCTCACTACACAGATTGGACTTGTAGTGATCCTCCTGTTTTCAGCCTCCCAGGCTCTGGGATTACAGGTGCGCACCACCACGCCCAATCTCATTTCTCATTGGGCCC